CATTTATTTATTTGAATGTAAAACTTCCTGAATCTAATTTTAAAGGTGAAATGTGCATCAGTGTCAGGACCTTCACCTGATAGGACGAAACTCCGAAGCTGTCGCTGACCCCGACTTCCTGCTCTGACACTGAACTCATTTTCTTCCTCCTCCCGCTGCCTCCTCCTCTTCCTCTCTTCCTTTGGTGGTACAACACCTCCTCCTCTTCCTCCTCTACATCCTCCTCCTCTTCCTCAATTAGAAAGGCCTCCTCCCCTCCTGATGGGGTGCAGTAGCTGGGGGTGTTGTTCGCCCCTCCTCCGTCCACTGAAGCTCCAGCTGCAGCTGCACCGCTTCCGCCAAAACTGCTCCCGTCTCTGGGGCTGAAGTAGTTGGTGCTGCTGGGCGACTGGCTCTCACTCACGGAAGCGTGGCTGGGAGGTTGTGAGGCACGCTGGGGCTCGTTGGAGCCCGCCACCTGAGCTTGACCACTACCATCATCACCACCACGGGCTCCATTACCACCAGCTGCAACACTGTCACTGTTGCTGCTGCTACAGCCGGGGTTAGCTGCACCCGCACCTCCTTCCACCCCGGTTTTGTCCTGCACGCCTCCTCCACTGTTCCCCCCTCCGGCCGCAGCTCGGCCCTCCTTCAGCAGCTCAGTGCACTTGTCCACGATGTGCCACATTTGCAGGACGCTGCCCACTGTGAGGTAGTTGACGATGTCTTCGCGCAGCATCCGGAGCTGACCCGTGTAGGCACAGCTCAGCACGCTCTCAAACGCCAGCGGGTCCATCACGGCCGGGATGGAGACCGTAGACATGTCCTTCAGTAGCACCTGGGGATGGATGAAGGACGATATATCACAACCTGACAGCCAGCTCCTCACACAGATAACTGGGGCCTCAATTTATCTTTGGCAGATGAATAAGGCTTGAAAATCCAATTTCATTTTTAATATTTAAAGTAAACACAAATAATTTATTAACTAGAATGGCATTCAGTGAATACCAACACCAAGTCCCCTTCAATTCAATCAAGCTGCACCAAACCGCACTTTTTTTCCCTCAAGACTCATGAATAATAATCAAAAAACCTTCTCTCTCACAGTCTTACAGAAAGTGATAACACATTCCTGGTTTGCCTCAAATTATATGGGTTCTTTCTTGATCCATGTCCGATCCTTTCACTAAATTTTGTGCAAATCAGTTCATCAGTTTTTATGTAATCCTGCTGATAATCAAATTGACAGAGGCGGATATTAACATAACAGTGGCGTCAGAAATGTTTAAAGTCTGATTCATCAGATCACATCACGCCACTCCCACCTGGTCATGGAAGTAGGGTGAGGATGCGGCCAGGACGCAGCGGTGGGCCTTGAACACTTGTCCCTGGACGTGGATGGAGAGGTCACAGAGCCTGCCGTCCTCTCTCTGCCGGTTCAGGCTGTCCAGCACCGAGGCCTGAGCGCTGGGGAAGCACACCTGCACCATCGAGCCAGATGTGTCGCTGTGAGCTGAACTGCTGCTGCTGCCCACCTCCGTGGGCAGGGACTGCATCTGCGGGGTAGAAAAACTTTCATCACTCGCAGTTTTGTCAGTTATGTCCAGACCATGGTCTGCACATACTCTACATAGCTCCTAAAGATCGTCTCCTTCGGGAGCTATGGAGGATGTCCAGAGAAAGATCTACTGGATCCTTCATTGCTCAGGAATGGAAGGATGCATTTGAAGGAGACTTTGAGATGGAACAGGTAGCGCCCGTCGTGACACAGTCTTCGAATGCAGCCCCCGAAGGATGCAACTCTTAACAGACTGTATTTCTCACCACGACTGACTCAAAGCTGAATTTTGTGATCAAATGTATAACAGGCAGATGTTATGTATAGTCTGACGCGTCCCTGTGTAATCACACGTTTATTCTTGATCAGAGATTTATTGCACTTCTGTCCGTCCTGGGAGAGGGACCCTCACATGTGGCTCTCCCTGAGGTTTCTACGTTTTTTTCCCCCCGTTAATTGTTTTTTGTGGTAGTTTTACTCTCCAGGGGGTTAAGAACAGAGGATGTCGCACCTTCTTCAGCCCTGTAAGAGAACGTGTGATTTGTGAGTACGGGCTAAAGAAATAACATTTTAACTGATGGAGGAGAACGTTACTTGGAAAAGCAGAATACACTGTGAATGAGAGCCGTCAGTCACAGTCTGGGTTCAGTGGCAGAGCTCAGATCATCAGTGTCACATGCACACACTTCGTCTCTGGTTGATCAGTATGGAGAGAATCAACAACAGCAAACCAGAGCTGTGGACGGAGGAGGTGTTGGTGGAGCTGGAGGTGTTAGTGATGATGAAGATGAAGGTGATGATGA